CCACAACACCACCCCGCATGTATGAGGGCCCGCTACGACGCTCCGGTGGCATTGCTACCCCCCAGGGCCCCCGTCCCGCCTAACCCTGGAGCGGTTGACCACGAGATCTAGCCTTCTAACTTCCCACGGACGGGCTTTGACCAGTGGACCTCTCCACCCGGTTGTGTTAGGTCGGCCCAGAGGGACACCCGGGAGCAACATCCGGGCAAAAACCACAGCTACATCCACTTCGTGTAGACCCGACGCGTCCGTTTCCCCCCTCCAGGTGCCGGCGGCGGCGCCGTCCATGAGGGGGGGGGCACACCGCAGATGTGAGGGGGGTCACTCTCTGGAGACGGTTGTCGGGCGTTTGCAACTGCCACAAAACTTCTGTCGGCATAGCTGTTTTTGATTTTAATAAAATATAAGGATCTATATTTAAAAGAACATGACCGCACATTATTAACGTGCTCGAAAAAATACAAACTATATATATATATATATATATATATATATATATATATATTCATAATATATGAAAAAAATACAAACTACATATATATTCATATGTATGTTTATATTTAACATGCTACATGTTAGTTGATGTAATAATACACAAAAAAGCATTAAAAAATATGTACGGAAAAAAATCTAACTATGCCGACGGCCTAGCCGTCGGCATAGATCCGACCAGCGTGCCGCGGATCACTGACGTGGCAGATATGCCGACGGCAGCCGTCGGCATAGGCTCTGCATGGTGCGGCCTGGATCAATGACGTGACCTGCGGACCTATGCCGACGGCCCCCCGTCTAGGCCGTCGGCATAGCTCTGACGCCGTTTGCCAGGGGGTGGCCGGGCCCCACGTGTATGCCGACGGCCTTCGTAAGCCGACGGTAGCTGTCGGCGTATATGTAGCTAGGCCGACGACCGTTCTATGCCGACGGGTGCCGTCGACTTATCTCTGCGTAGCCCGACGGCCTTTGTACGCCGACGGCCAGAACCAGGCTGTCGGCATATCTCCGGAGAAGCCGACGGGGGCCGTCGGCATTGTTCTGGCCGTCGGGGTATGGCCCTGTTCCGGTAGTGAGAGCAAGACTCGCCGGCATAGGCATGTGAGAAGTTCCGAAGGACTCACCGGCATAGGCTAGTATTTGCGCGACTTCCACCCTGTTTGGAAGCTCTCCGCTCCGCCGGCGCGGAGCGGGCTGCAGCCTATTTTCTCGGAGTGGCTGAAGGGTCGCTCCGTACGCTCCACGGAGCTGGATGACTGTTGAACAGGCCTTTCATGTCCTACACGGCTACACCGCGCACCAGAGATGGCGATGACGCCAGTCCGGGAGTCCTCAGTGCTACAACGCTAGAGATTACGATGAACTGCATGGTAATAAGCAGCAGCTCTGGCTTGCCGGCGAGTCAAACAACAAGGATTTGTTTGAGCTTGATTTGGAGGCGCACTCCTTCGTTTTGGACCCAGATATAGCTTGCATAGTTCGTCAATTCTTTTGTCCAGTGGCTGATTCAGCTCCCAATGCTGACACTATGTACATGTTTTTTTTTTGCCGGGACGTGTTAGAACTTAGAACTGCTTGCTGATCTCACTTGTATATCGGCTATTCTTATACGCATATACTCTCTCCGTCCTAAAATAAGTGTCTTGAGCTTAGTATAAATTTGTACTAGAGCTAGTACAAAGTTGAGACACTTATTTTGAGACGGAGGGAGTATATATTAGATGTTACGAGTCCATCATTTTTTGCATTCAGAGAATGCACCTTCTGTTCAGCAGGATATGTGATAACTGGCTGCTCATGTGTGTATTGCCGATTACACACTTCATTAATTCCGCTAGCTTTATCAATGGCTATGCAGTATATGGTGATCCAATTCCTTTTCCCAACCAACAAGACGGGCTCACCTCACACATTTGTCTTTGCTCGTAGCCTTTGTGACCGTGAATCCGTGATCATATTTCTCGACGGCCTCCGCCCTTTACTGCTTCGCCGTCGTCACTCGTCAGTGCCCGCACTATAGTGCCATCAATCCATGGCTCCCTGTACCCATTTGTCTTTGGGTGTAGCCATTGGAGCCGGTCAACCCCCGGGCGCCCACCCACATGAGAAATGGGAAGATCGGGAGGGCCTCTCAGCGGAGCAAGCCCGCTGAGGCCTGCATGGCGGAGCTCCGCCGCTGCTACCCGGAGCACCGGTTGTACGAGGAATACATACATGCCGGGGAGGAGGACAGAGGCCATCAACCTCTCCGACGACGGTGACATCGACGGCTCCGGCCCTGACTTTATGATCAGAGGGCTGAGCAGGGCGAGATGGACATGGAAGAAGCTTGAGGAAAAAGGTGATGATGCGCTGCTCTTCTTCAGTCTCCAAGCTTTACAGTCACTCATATGCGCATTGCAAAACCAGGCACGCTAGGCTGATCCTGTGACATATGAGTTTGATTTCAACTTGAAGCATTTCTCCAGCAATACTGACAAGTTCAACAGGAGTCGTCAGCCGGTGGAGTATTCACATCACACCATGTCAGGTTCAGGTTCTACCAGTCCAGTTGCTCCGATGACTAGTGCCAATCCCTGCAACACATGTTTCCAATTCCAAACTACCTTCATCTGCTTAGCAAAAATGACTGCGCAGCATACGCTCTGCTCAGCAGGGTTATGGATTGACAAAGGATACAGAAATTCGCAACAGCACAGCACAAAGGGTCTACTCTTGGGGAATTTTGGGTCATACAGTAGTATTTTTGAAATATATCTTGGCACACAACTTGCCGCCTTGAGGCGAGGCTTTAGGTTGGCGATCGAAATCTGCCTGACCTCCAGCCCTTACTTGGCTTTTTAGGTTGGCGGTAAAAATGGTTCCACCAACTAAAGCAAAAGAGGTGAAGGTAAATAGCTGGGAACGCTGACAAAACAAAGTGCTCTAATAAGGTATGCGGCATTTTCTAGTAAAGTTTTGTGATGGAGATTCTGCTTAGTGTTTATCCAACTCCAAATGCAGAAGCCAGCTGAAAATCTTGATTTTGGTTGGAACCTAGATTCGATATTAATATATACTTGGGTGACCGAGGGTAGCGGCGATATATAGTACCATATGCCCCATATATAATGAGCGGTGATCCATCCAGCAGCATGTGATAGTCACTTGTCGAGGAACGGAAGAATTCGTGAGCGGGTAGGCGTGCAAGTGCAACAGAGAAATTAGATGTTACTACCAGTCAATCGTATTGTGCATTCAGAAACTGCATCGTCTGTTCATCATATGTATTGTGGATTAATTCAGCCTACAAGTCTTGAGAAGTACTGTATGCAGCTTGTTGAGCTCCTTGACATGCTCGTGCCATCATTCTCAAGATGACAGAGCGACTGAAAAGTATTGTAAGCAACTTCCTAAATTAAGTTCCACACCACATGCTAAGTAATGGTCCTTAACCCAGCCTAGATAATTACTGCAGTCTACAGAATAGCAACTTCCTAAACAAAGTTCCAAGAGGTCCAGAGCTAGCTGCACTTGGGCCACATCACTGCAACCACCTTCTCTTGATCCAGAAGTGCTTGCTCCAGCAACTAGAGCTTGGCAAACAGTTGAAGCCCCAGCTCACTGCCCCTGGACAGTACTACAGGCTGCTTCCATTGCTGCAGAAATGCAAGAAAATCATAACATAAACTCAATTGATTGACGAATCAGGCTCAACTGTATGTATGTTTTCCTCGACAGGTAAATTCAGACGTTATGTCGTCATGTCTAAAGTTACTTTTCATTTCACTGAAAGATCGTAACAAGGAATTGTACATGATTTATATGTATGCACAAAATTAAATAGTACCTGGGATGTAGAAGCTCATGTAGGGAAAGATTTTTCTGCCAAGGCGAGACACCTTCCTGGCTCGCCCTGCCTTGAGATCAACCATATAGGAACCAACTTGTGTTTTCACAAAAATGACTTGGGTGCCCTCTGCGACGCCACTGACAAGCATTCCACGCACCCACCTCCTAATCCCAAATTCACATGTTGGGACCGGCAGGGCGCCATTAGGGAGTAGCCTGTTAAGATCGATTGCCCTGAGTTTTACCCATCCCGTGGCTCCCTCCGGTCCAGTCTGCATTGACCATAGGGTTAGATCTGTGACATCAACCACAGCAACAAATCCCAGCTTGCCATCTTCCGCCGTCATGAGACGCCCATTGCCATCGATCGGCTTCTCGAACATTGACAAGCGGAGTGTACCAAGTTGGCACTTCAAGATGCTACCAATGTTGAAGTAGAGTGCATCGCCCACAATGACGCTAGGCGCGGCCAAGTTATAGGTATAGGTATACTCCACACTGGGGTGATGAATAGAGGTGAGCTTGCCCCACACTCGAGTCTCCGACGAGTACATCCGGCCCGATGTGACGTTTTGCCGCTTATTCGTGGTCACGATGATCACACGGTAATGCCCTCCTTGGCAACCGTGGTGGTCGCAGCCTTGTGCGGCGCAGAACACCGCCGCACTGAACGTGAACTGGAGCTCACTGTCGCCCGGCGGTGAGGGCAAGCGGCGCCCGTGGCCCGTCAGAGGGTCCCAGATGATTAGTCCAACGGTCTGCCCTTCCACGACGTTCCGGTAGGCGGGGTCGAAGGCGAAGATGGCGGGGGCGAAGGCGAAGAGGGCGCGGCCGTGGCGGCAGTCCAGGGGAACCCAGCGAGGATCGTTAGGCTGGGCAGGGGGGAGGGCGGATGTGGGGAAGAAGCTAACGTCCTTCTGGAAGAAACCCAGGACGGGAGGTGTTCCGTGGAACTCGCGGTAGCGGCGGCGAAAGCCTGGATCGGCGAGGATGAGGCGCCAGGGCTTGCAGACGGCGGAGGCACGGACGAAACAGGCGGGCTCCTCCGGCGGAAGGCGGACAAGTACCTCGTCGACGAGCTCCGGCGAGAGGCGGAGTAGCGGATGCTCTACGAGCTCGTCCATCAGCGCCGGCGGCGGCGGCTTGGTGCGGCGGTGTCTAGGGTTTTGGTGGGGAAGGGTGGAACCAGTACTACATGGGGAAGAGGGTTTGGCGGTTTGGGTTTGGGTTTGGGTGCGGCCGCGTCGAGGGTTTGGTCGAGCTGCCTTGAAGGAAAAAACAAAAAGAAAAGAGAAGACGATAATATTACTTCCCATGTAGAGGGCACCCAAGACGATAATATTGGATAGTACTCCTTGTAGAAACAGAGGAGTTGATGTAGATCAACGCGTTTAGTACTTCTTCCCATGAAAAAGACTCCCATGCAATTAGGTTTTCTCCTCCTCCTGTCGGTGTCGCCGCCTTTCTGACCTGCCTGCGATGGCCTTTGGACTATGGAGGTGCGTATGACCTCGAGAAACCGGCCGAAGAGAATGGGCCCGCTCTTGTTCTTGTTAGATTTAGCGTCTTGGTTGGGTTGTGTGGTGGCGGCGATGTCTCTCAGTAGAAATAATGTCTGACATTTGATCCCCTTCTTAATGATGGTCTTCGTCAGATCTCGCGGGATTCAATCAATGATGGTCTTTGGTAGATCTATTTCGATCAGTCTTCGTTCATGTGTTTACTTGTTTGATCCTTCCGATCTACGACTATCTTTATCGCTGATGGTTGCTCCTCTCGTGTGCTAGTCCCTTGGGAGCTTAGTACGATTACTTCTCGAGTGTTTAGTACATCAAGGATTGCCCCGCTCCGGGAGGGAGAGGAGGGCGGGAGGCGCTTTCGGCTGCTTCAATGCTTGTACTCCCTAGGTTGTCCATGGACCTGCTTGTAATTTTTATTACCTCAGATGTTCTTTGTAACACGATTGATTATAAATAGATTGAAAGTTCCCGGGAAAAAATAGATTGAAAGTTTCTACCGAAAAAGAAAATCAATCCATTGCTGCCACGTATCAATCGGAAGGAAAATACATGACGACATCATGGATGGTAGAGCGAAGCTACTTCAATGATTACAACACCCCAACGCGTGCCATAGTAGCTTCATGGAGCCCTTTATTTTAAAAAAATTCAAAATTCATAAATTTCAGTTTAAAAAATTCCGAAAAAAATTACACATGTACGCAAGGATGTAAAGTGTATGTGTGTTCAGGAGGAAATACGTTGAATTGCGAGCTGCACAAAAAAAACAAAATCATTAACTTTAAAGATGAACAATACATATACTAAAAAGACCCAGATTTGTCTTTTTTGTGTAGCTCACATTTTATTGTATTTCGACCTAAAAATTTGCACACATGTACATTATGTATCTAGGTATATGTGTATTTATTTTCATAATTTTTTGATACTGAAAAGTTTGAATATTAAAGTTTTCAAATAAAGGCCTCCATGGAGCTCGGTCTCCGTTTGGCATTTTCGGAGTTGCGGAGCTTTCATAGTGTGGAAGAAGAATAAGCCAATACTGTGCGAAAATCCCAATCTGAGCTCTAGCTCAAAAGCTATTGACATGAATAGTAAAGAAAGATTAATAGAAAAACCTGATTATTTTGGCAAACATTAAGAAATGTTTCGACTTTCGAGTGCTTACAAATTTTCATCATCATATCACATTTGTGAAAGCCGTGGAAAGAAATAAAATCAGCACTCCAAAATGATTTCGAAAGTTTAGCATCTTCTGAGCATCAATTTTGTTTTTTTCCCACGACATCCATGGATGTGATTCCAAGATGAAACTTAGCAAGCACTCAAAAAATTTCTTAATTTTTTTACACAAAAAAGTTATATTTTTTTGATTTGACAGGATCATAAGAACCTGAAGAAAGGATTCAGAAAAACACAGCTCGAAGGAGCTACTTTTGGGGAGTTCTTGAGTTATAAGTAGGGTTTAGTCTGGATCAAAATCTGCCTGAGCTCCTGCCCGTGCATGATTTTACAGCCCAGGTTACGGTCAAAATGGTTCTACCAACTGAAGCAAAAGAGGTCGGTTCTACCAACTGAAGCAAAAGAGGTCAAGGTAAAGAGCTGGGAACGGTGACAAACCAAAGTGCTCTAATCGAGGAAATTCAACTTGGGCCGCTGGATGCTGCTTGGACGTCCAAGATTACAAGATTCCACTTTGCGTTCCGTTGTCTAAATCTGAACAGTGGGTGCTTAAACTGAAGAAATAGCTGCAGTTTCTGAAGAGACGATCAGAGTAGGGGATTGCTGTGTGCTATGGCCTGACAGTGTTTAACTGTTTAGACCTCAGATGAAACAGAGTCACTTCTCCGGGATAAAAATAGAGACAAGACATGTAAAGAATTGAAAGAAATACTTGAAGACCTGGTATTTTTCCAAGATCAAGTTAGAACCTGCTTATTAGAAAGTACTCCCTCCGTTCCACGACAAGAATCAATTTTGAACTAAAACCACGACAAGAATTATGGAACGGAGGGAGTACCTAATAAGTGTCCACACTTCGATTTCGAAACCATTCAGATCATTTCCCATGGCAAGCAATCTTTGAGTCGAGCTCGTGTCAGCATATTTCACAAGATCACAAAATGACTGAAAAGATCTTTACAAACTGCAAGCAGGGAAGCAACAACTTGCTAACGAAGTTCCAGAACCCAAAAGTAACACCAGCAGTAACCTCACAGATGCAGAGCCATACTTGTGCAAAACATCACTACTTCCACCTCCACCAACTTGCTCCAGCAAGTAGAGCTTGACAAACACTAAAGCACCAGCTCACTGCCCCTGGCCCATAGAAGCTGCTTCCATTGCTGCAGAAATGCAGGAAAATCAAAATATAAGATCAACTGGGATGAATCAGGTTTAACTGAATGTACATTTTGCTTACACACCGACCAGAAGGCACAAACACGCCAGGTAAATCCACAAGTTCATAGGATCATTAAGAAAATATGGACTGACAGATCGTAAAACGGGAGGGTTGTATATATTTACATAAGTAATAATACCTGGGATGTAGAATCTCATGTAGGGAAAGACTTTTCTGCCAGGATCAGATACCTTCCTAACTCGCCTTGACTTGAGATCGACCATATAAGTACCATTACGATCACACATGCTCACAAAAATGATTTGGGTGCCTTCGGCGATGCCACTAATTCCATCTTCAGGTGCTGGGATGGAAAGGGCCGTGTCAGGGAGCAGCGTCGTAAGATCGATTACCCTGAGTTTTCCCCATCCCATGGCTCCCTCTGGTCCGGTCTGCATTGACCAAATGGCTAGATTTGTAACATCAACCACGGCAGCGAATCCCAGCCCGCCGTCTTCCACCGTCATAAGACGCCCTTTGGCATCGGTCGGCCTCTCAAACATTGACAAGTTTAGAGTACCAAGTTGGCACTCGATAATGCCATCCAAGTCAAAGTAGAGTGCATCACCCACAAGGACGCTTGGCGAACCACGGTTAAAGGTATACTTGGTGATATTGGGGTGATGAGCTGAGGTGAGGTCGCTCCACACACGAGTCTCCGACGAGTACATCCATCCCGATGTGACTTTCTTCTGATGATTGGTGGTCAGGATGACCACACGGAAATGCCCTCCCTGGCAACCGTGGTGGTCGCAGCCTTGTGCGGCGCAGAGCACCGCCGCGCTGAACCAGAGCACGCCGTCGTCCACCGGTGTGCGCAGGCGGAGCTCGTGGCCCGTCAGAGGGTCCGCGATGGTTATGTAAACGGGCTCCCCTTCCCCGAAGTACCTGCTGTAGGACTCGAATAGGTAGCGGCCGTGGCGGCAGTCCAGGGCCTTCACTTTAGCCCAGCGGGGGCGCACAGGATGGGCAGGGAGCGCCGATATGGGGAGGAAGCTGGCGTCCTCTTGGACGATCCCGAGGACCGGAGGTGCTCCGTGGAACTCGCGGTAGCGGCCGCGAAAGCCGTCGTTGGCGAGGATGCGGCGCCAGGGCTTGCGGACGGCGGAGGCGCGGACGAGCCAGGCGGGCTCCTCCGGCGGAAGGCGGAGGAGGACCTCCTCGACGAGCTCCGGCGAAAGGAGGAGGAAGGGATCCTCTACGGGCCCGTCCATCAGCGCTGGCGGCGGCGCGGCGGTGATGATGCGGCGGAGGCGAGGGTTTGGGTGGGGAGGATGAAGCGGAGGAGTCCAGAATCTACGCTTCGTGTGGGTTCGTGCAATCGTGCTTGCCGTGCTTTCAGAACGTTACCGCGCGTTCGCGCCGCTTCATTTCATCATTTGCTCTGTGGCTGACACGTACAACATGCTACACTTTACAAAGCGACACGCGTTCTAGGACAACATCAGAAAATACCTCAAATAAGTGAAATCACGCGAATCAACCTGTGGTTGAGTTGGTTAGGTGGACAGTGGTATCCCCAGCCCACCAGGGTTCAAATCCTGGTGCTCGCATTATTCCTGGATTTATTTCAGGATTTCCGGCGATGCGCTTTCATAGGGATGAGTGTATGCGCGTGTATATGAGCGCTTGTGTCTGTACTGATGCTAAAAAAAAGTGAAATCACAACCCACGCCTAGGATCCTCTGCATCGAAGACGTCTACCGCCGCACTCCCTCCAAGTTACAGTGGCCGCGGGAGAGAAGCATGGGAAGTCGTCCGATCTTGAATCTAATCTAAGGGCGTGTTTGGTTCAAGTTGTGAATAATTCCTGCATGGCGTACATTTCTCAACCAAGCCTGATTGAGTAAAAACATGCCCTAATGCATCATGTACAAGTTGTTTGGTTGCCTGCATCTAGGGTCCCTACATTAGGTAATAGCAAGTGCATTTTGTTTGGTTGCCTGCCATGGTCCAAGCGGCACATAGACAAGGTGTTTGGTTGCAGACGGCGTACATGATGTGCTTACCTTGTACCCTAGTCGGTGAGCTTACCCACAATGATCACACTAGCACACCAACGCCACAGCACAACAGTGGCAATGAACTGCGCGAAGATGATGAAGTTCTTCAGCTTCAGCCCAAACTGACGATCCACTTTAGCACCTTTCACTTTGACACCTCTAACCTTGCCACTGTCAACATTGTCGCCTCCGTGCTTTCGCATCCAGTTGGAGTAGGCTTGTTCTGCTGCCTGCCTAGTCTTGAACCCTCTATGGCTGCTGTTGCTATACGATGCCACTTGTGCACTGGCTTCTTCTCATGAACTGTAAACCTTTGGAGCCTTCCGATGAACACGGCATACCACTTGCCCTAGCAATGCACAAGAGCAAGAGTTGAAGCAGCAAATCAATGGGGCACACAAGTAGCACACAGACAACAATGGCGCAGAAGAAAAGAAGAAGTAAAGCATGTATGATCATACGGCACAGCAAGTTCTACCTAGCACTACCATGGTGTTATCCTACCACCATATCCAAAAGAGTTTGTGGTCCTACCACCGCAAGTTCACCATCATCATGAGGCGTTAGTATAAACCACCTCACCAAAATATACAGACCATCAAATAGTTTTCCAGCCCTAGCTACACAAAATGTACGTCGTCATCGTCATCATCGTCGGCGTCGCCACCGTCATCGCCGTCGGGGATCATGCACGCTCACAGGCAGAACTACTCTAGTAGTAGTGCTTGCCCAGCTAGCTCCTGAGCCACAGCTGTTGGGAAACGTAGCATGCAATTTCAAAAAAATTACTACGCTCGCGCAAGATCTATCTAGGAGATGCATAGCAACGAGAGGGGGAGAGTGTGTCCATGTACCCTCGTAGACCGAAAGCAGAAGCATTTGCTTAACGCGGTTGATGTAGTCGAACGTCTTCTCGTTCCGACCGATCGAGTACCGAACGTACGACACCTCCGAGTTCTACACACGTTCAACATGATGACGTCCCTCGAGCTCTTATTCCAGCAGAGGGTTGAAGGAGTAGATGAGTTCCGTCAGCACGACGGCGTGGTGATGGTGATGGTGGCGTGATCCACGCAGGGCTTCGCCTAAGCACCGCGAGAATATGACCGGAGGCGTAAACTGTGGAGGGGGGCGCTGTCGGTGTCAAAACCGGTGGATCTCGGGTAGGGGGTCCCAATCTGTGCGTCTTAGGCTGATGGTAACAGGAAGCAAGGGACACAATATTTACCTAGGTTCGGGCCCTCTCGATGGAGGTAAAATCCTACTTCCTGCTTGATTAATATTGAAGATATGAGTAGTACAAGAGTAGATCTACCACGAGATCGTAGAGGCTAAACCCTAAGAGCTAGCCTATGATGGTATGATTGTAATTGTGATCGTCCTTCTAAGGACCATCCTCTCCGGTTTATATAGACACCGGAGAGGGCTAGGGTTTACATGGAGTCGGTTACAAGGAAGGAAATATAATATCCGGATCACCAAGTTTGTCTTCCACGCGAAGGAGAGTCCCATCCGGACACGGGCGGAAGTCTTGAGTCTTGTATGTTCACGCTTCAATAGTCCGGATGATGTATATAGTCCGGCTATCCGGATACCCCCTAATCCAGGACTCCCTCAGTAGCCCCTGAACCAGGCTTCAATGATGATGAGTCCGGCGCGCAGTCTTGTCTTCGGCATTGCAAGGCGGGTTCCTCCTTCCGAATACTCCAAGGTTATTATCGAACACGTAGATCGTGTCCGGATCTCCCCCCTCCCGCGTATATAAAGGAGGGAGGGAGAGGAGGTCGGCCCTAGGCGCGCCCCAAGTCGGAGGAGTCCCACTTGGGCTCCTAGTAGGACTCGGCCCCCCTTCCTTTTATCGGTGGGGGAAAGGGGGAAGGAGTGGGAGAAGGAGAAGGAAAGGGGCGCGCCGCCCCCTCCCCTAGTCCAAGTCGAACTCCTCACTTGGGGAAGGAGGCACCACACCTACGTGGGCTGGTTTCCTCCCTCCTATGGCCCATATGGCCCATATCTTTCCCCGGGGGGTTCCGGTAACCCCTCCGGTACTCCGATATGTACCTGATACATTTCGGAACCCTTTCGGTGTCCGAATACTACCTTCCAATATATTAATCTTTACCTCTCAACCATTTCGAGACTCCTTATCATGTCCGTGATCTCATCCGGGACTAAGAACAACCTTCGGTCACCAAAACACATAACTCATATAATACATATCATCATCCAAGGTTAAGCATGCGGACTGTTGGGAAACGTAGCATCCAATTTCAAAAAAATTCCTACGCTCATGCAAGATCTATCTAGGAGATGCATAGCAATGAGAGGGGGATAGTGTGTCCACGTACCCTCGTTGACCGAAAGCTGAAGTGTTTGACAACGCGGTTGATGTAGTCGAACTTCTTCTCAATCCAATCAAGCACCGACCGTACGACACCTCCGAGTTCTACATACATTTAGCTCGATGACGTCCCTCGAACTCTTGATCCAGCAAAGTGTCGAGGGAGAGTTGCGTCAGCACGACGACATGGTGATGGTGATGGTGAAGTGATCCGTGCAGGGCTTCACCTAAGCACTACATGAATATGACCGTAGGCGTAAACTGTGGAGGGGGTCGCCGCACACGCCTAGGAGTCAATATTGTGTCTTCTAGCGGTGCCCTTGTTGGAGATATGCCCTAGAGGTAATCATGTATAATGATATTTCCTATGTATTATGAATAAAGATAGTCCTTGGACATTATCAATGATGTGTATCAACAAGTATGTGACTTGTTTGTGGGACTATGCATTGTATGATGACTGTCCTAAAAGGTCCCTAGTCGAAAGGGCTGTGTGGACGCGCAGCCGACTAGACTAGCATATTACACGGTCGATGGGTTGGTCTTACTAGCCATGGAGCATTGGATGCTAACCGGATAATATGGACTTGGAAAGGTCTAGTCGGATTCGACGTAGTCGGATCCGAGTCGAGATAAGGTCCGAGTCGGATAGACGCAACTATGAGATGCATTGATATGTCATCTGTGAGTCTCTAGTACAACATACGTTCTATGTCCTAAGACCTGAGCTGACGCATGTACTCGGGATGGTGACAGACTTGCTTTGGGCGGACCAAACGCTACTCCGTGACTGGGTAGTTACAAAGGTAGGTTTCAGGTTTGTCCAGTCCCATGCTGCGAGACATGGTCGAGCAAGATGGGATTTGCCCCTCCGGCTAGGAGAGATATACTCTGGGCCCCTCGTGTGATCTGACCAGGATAAGCATGGCCATGCGACAAGGATTATGAGATAATCCAGTTTGTGGTCGGCATCACTGGAACGAGAAAGAGGTCGGGTTAGCACAAGGATGACAATATCGCCTTGAGCCCGACAACATATATCGTGTGGGAAAGGGAACAGAAGTGTGACATGTTGTACAAGTTCGCCTAATCAGCTTCACAGTCTGCTAGGTGGTCGGCACGCCTTGCTAGAGGCCGCTACCAACCGTGCAGGTCGGAGGTGATCCGAACTGTGACCAAGCCGACTTGAACCTAAGGGGTCGCGCGCTTAAGGGAAGGAACCTATGAGTTCGGTTCGTAGGACACTGGTCGGATGTGATCCGAACTGGACTAGGAACGTGACCGAGTAGACTTTGGGCTTTAGGGTCTGTGCGAGGCCCAAGTGTTGAGC